ATAATACATGGAATAATACACATGTATTATACATATGTATTATTGCCCCCATCCTTAATTGAAACATTTTTGAGTTGAAGTTTTTAAAATTATTTATTAACGGGGGAGAGTAGTGGGGCGGGAATCATCATTATTATTAGTTTTACTAGTATGTTATTATATAAACTACTATTAAAATAATAAATAATTTAAATGAGATAAATATTAAAATAAATTTGGCTCTCACTGTATATACAGTATAGTACAGTATATTTATTAGAAATAAATTATTTTAAATATAAGTAATGATTAAAGAGTCATAAAACATGAAAATAATTTTTTACATCTTTTTAATTTAAACATTAATTATATTTTGAAAAATTTAGTTTAATGACATATTGAATAAAATATATTTTATGAACGTTTTTAAAATTACAATGTAAAGCATGTGGCCTATTTCATCATGGACAATAACATTGCCGGGTATTGTTAAACAATGGGAAATCTACGAATGGCAATAAAAGAAAATATATGATTCAACTAACCATAAATACAACGAGAATGTCATAAATTTGATAATATATATCGTGCGCATACGAGTGGCTAAAATCCAGTCGCACAGACAATTATCACGGTAAATCAAAGTGATCACGATGAAATGAATAACAAAACCGACGCACATTATTGCAGCAAGGTTGTTCAACAGTTCAATTTGATTAATGTGTCGACATATAAAACGTATCTGTTTTTTAGTCCGCATCAAATCATTGCCGTCGGCGGACAACCAACACCTTATTTGATCCGTTATAATAAGGCTGTAATCAGTGGTCATATTGTTTACAACTATTAGATCAAAAATTATACAAAAGCAGAGACACATCCATACAGTGATAGTGACCAACCAATTGGGCGGTGGTGTAAACGCACGGCCATTGAGAACCACATATACGACGCTCAACACACATAAGCCTGTGGTTACAAAATATGCTATGATTTGAATGAACGCATTGACCGCTTGAGCGACACATTTCGGGTGAAGAGGTTGTGACCACATTTTGGCCAACATTTTGGCCACCATTTGAGCGTCAATTAAAACGGCTTCAGAAATATGGTACTGACATTCGGGTAGATTAGTGAACAGACTGTCCACTATATCACTGTACGAGTCGTCAATGTTTACCACCACTTCATGGATAGTGTGGCTGTAATTGTCGTACAGATAGTCATACATTATAACCGATTAGACGTATAATTAATTTAAAACAAACTAATGAACACAAAAATATACTTTTATTTAATGCAAGTTTCACTCGAACTAAATGTTGATCTTAAACATGAAAATCAAATGCTTTTAAAGCATTCAATTAAATGGTATCTAAAATGATCACATTTTCTAATATAAGGCATCGATTGGTTGTTTGAAACCGGGATTACTTTAATGATAATCCTATTTACAATATAATTTAAGATTAACTTTCTATTTAAACAAAATTCAATATTTAAAGCTTTAATCAAAACAATGAGTTTATTTTATTAAGTTATAATAAACTCATATTAATAAGTTATACTTTATTTAGAAACTACATACAGTATCTATAATAAAAACTATAGTCTATTTTCTGCAAAGGCGTCAAAGTATGGAATAGTCTATCGCTTGACATCAGATCCGAGACCACAATCACTAACTTTAAGACACGCCTCAAAGACATGATTAATTAAATCTATTTACTATTTATATCGTAATTTTAGGATTTACTTTAATGTTTTATAATATTAAATACTTTTATAATGGATTTATATGAAAAACAATTTTTATTAATCATAGATTCCAATAAAGTTTGATTTGATTTGAACTACATATCTAGAAACTGTATACAGTATCTATAAGACAAGTCTAGAGCAACATATTTTAATGATCAATATAAATTACTTAATTATAGATTAATATTCAATAATTAATTGATAGATTTTAAACTTTAAAAGTAAAATATTGTTTTGCAAATACCATTTGTAAATTGCAACTTTAGACCAAATATAGTTTTTTAGACAGGGTAAATGTGTTTTCTATTACATTAATATTATGGACAATTTAATTATTCAAAGTAATATGTTTTGCAATTAATTCTGAAATTACAACAAATGTTGCAATAATTAAAGCGGTGATCAAAAGCCAGAAAACGCCCCTCAAGTCAGTGATGTTTACGGAAGGGATGACTAGTGTTGGCTTCGGTTGGTCTGTGATGTCGGCCTCATATCCATTGGGTTTCAGCGATCGCTTCACTTCATAGTCATAGACACCGCTCTCCTGAAGACCACATAATCTGTTCATACAATTAATACAACTGTTATAATGTATTCAAATATAATGTTCCCAAATATACAAACATTTTATCAAAATTGTTGGTAAAGTTCTGGTCTAATGTTTGAGCGTTTATTCCCATATTGTAAAGCATTGTATTGTTGGACGAATCGGACACATATAGCCCGAGACCAGCCATACCTCCAGACATATACCCGTCGTAATAGTGTTGATATAACTCATGCATTGGTATATCGGGAAAGCTTTTCAGCACTGTATTAACCATATAATAAGCACCAAACTTGGGTACAGCCAATACATGCTTCTCTTCCAATACGGTTAAAATGATCTGTTTTTTTAATTAAATTGTCATTTATTTATATTGTATCAAAATTATGAAATACTATTATAATATAATTATAACTATTATAATAAATGAACGATAAAAATGGAAAAGAGAGCACATTTGTAATTGTGTTTATCTAAAAAGTATTGTCTGTTACTAACGTTAAATAGGAAATGAACTGTAAATTTGGTTTGAAATTATTTGGAATAGATAGATATACGGAGGGGTTTCTTATAAAGAAGTGATACTGGATTAGCATTACTTCCATTTGAATCAATTCGTCACTTGCGGTCTCCAAAGGGCCGTAATATGTCATCCGTTCAATGAAACTGTTGGCCATTTCGTTATCATTGATAGTCATATATTCAGTGATATCGTAGTTAAAGATCCATATCTTGGAGTACTTATAATTAGGATCAGTATATAATTGGTATATGTTTTCCAACCGGTCGTACGACTGACCCCTCATAAGAGTGTCGTATAAATCGCCCGAATATAGCGATAATAATAGCGTACAAACCAATAGCCAAATGCCGGCAAACATGCGATCAAAACATTTCTCTATTGTTTTTAATTGGAAACAATCGGAGAGAATGACCGCAGAAAACGTCCAAATGGTTTGCAGACATCGAGTGACCGATCGATACCTCAGACCAAACATCACTCCAATTGATATCAAAGACAATACGGCTGAGAGATATATAATACTATCCCAACAGTCGATAAATTCTATGGGAGAGCGAGACTCTGGATATATGAGCAAAAAATCAAATTAAATATTTTACAACTATATTAAGTGATACTTAACTCAACACCATTTTACTGATCAACACGTCTGCGTCCATGTTATCGACATAACGAGTTAAATTCATTTTGGCGAAAAGCATAGCTGATGTCATATACGGTGATATCGGAAAGAGTATAATATCCCACAAATTGTTTTCCTCCCACCGTTTGATTGTATCGATCGCCGCGTCTTCGCTGCCCATCAATGGCTTAAACACAACACTTGACGCAAATTATAATACATTATATTACAAATATAATACAAACATAGGGTTGCCAAACGTACAGGAATTTCATGTATTATACAGGAATTTTTACTTAATACAGGAAGAAATTTTTATGTTCATTGAAGAATACAGGAATAAATATTTTAAAAATAAGCTGTAATACAGGAATTTTTGGCAATTTTCTTACATTTATACAGGATTCTCAAAATATGATTTGGCAACGCTATACAAACATCACATTTATTTTATACATTCATGTATTTCCCGAGTGATTATATATTATTAACCGTAGTGTATATGTGTTCATAAATAATTTGAAATTAAAATTTCGAGTAAAATAAAATATAATTTTAAAGCATTAATATTATTGAAGTCATATACAGCGGAAAATCCTTTAGATAAGTGATGATCCGTTTCACTGCAATACATTTTATATATGTGCAATGCTAGCACATGTATTGCAATGAAGCCGAAGTATCACTTTTCTAAAGGATTTTTCGCTGTACATCTATACATAAATATATAAATCTATATATAAATATATCTTAATTTAGAATTAAAATATTTCTAATATTTCTAAATTAATTACTTTCTGTTGACAAATTTGGCCACAGTTTGCAGTAATACTATAAATGGACCGCAATATCGATAGTATAGGAGAGATGTGTTGTCCGCAAGAGTTGTCTCCCATTCCTTGTATTGCAAAAACGGCGGATAAATGCCATTCATTACAGACAGCGGTCTTTCGGTGGCATCGATGGCCCAATCGGTGGTGTTTTGGCCGCTGTTTAAAGTAATACATCTCTTCTCGTCCTCCAAATCCATATCTAAGATGTTTTTAACTAAACTTCAAATTACAATTAAATATTTCAATTAAATATAAAGTTTACATCAATTGAATGTGTTTCACGCAAACGTGTATTTAATACTTAATTAATAAATTTTATATTTATATTATTAAAATAGTTCCTTAATATTTATATGTCTAATAGTTTTTTTAGTGAAAACAAATTATATAATTTAATATTAACATTTTATATCTTTCAAAATTAATATTAAACTATTTTTGTCATATTTCTATTGTTAATAGACTATTAAATAACTACAGTATAAAAATAACATAATAATTATTTCATGCATTATATCCAATATTGTTTGACAATACAATAGTTATTATTAAATGAAAAGTTTTGTATTTGTAATAATATTTTACTAAACTAACTAAAGATTTTAATTAAACTGTATTACTAGCACCCGATAACAATTAATATATTTAATATATAAACATTGATATAAATAACAAGCTTAATATAGATATCAATAATTTTATAAATGTCAAAAAAATATAAAATTATAAATACAAATTATTAATTTTTGTCAGAATGTGCATGGGCTAATACTAACGCAGCCACCAATGCATTTTCAATGCAAGCCATTCAATGCAAGCCAGTTTGACGAGCCTTTACACGTACAGTAGATATTAGATCATGATAAAATAATGATAACGGTTTTAAAATTAATTATAATATTACTTTAAATAATTCATCACGTATTGTGATAAGATTATATTGATAAAAACAAGTTTTTAAAGCATTTAAATATTTTCCCACTTTACATAGTTATTAAATATTTCATTTTATGTTTTCATTGTGTTCAGTATATTTACATAGTTGTAATTTTGGCTAATTTGTTAAATTATTGTTAAACTATAAAATATTAAATATCGTGATATTTATTTAATTAATTATTATAATTGAGTATAAATAGTCATCAATAAATAATTCAACAAAATGTCTTTCATATATTTATTATTGTCGTTCACTTTCTTTGTTAATTATATGGTTTGCAATGAAGCAGAAAAATACCTGAAAGAAAACCAGTGCCGCGTTTATGGCATTAACCAAGCCTCGGATTTGGACGCACTTTGTAAGCAAATGTGTGTTATGCACCACTCATAAATAACATTTAATAAATATATGTTTTAATAATTTCATTCAAATTTACAACAATTTAGTTACAATTAAAAATTACAATAAAATATTTTAATATAGAACTTTATTTTTGTTAGTAATATATAGGAAAGATTAAGTTTGTATAGATTAAGATTAAACCAGATTAATTTTGAACACACTTAGTAAATAATTTTTAAATCATTGTAATTTTAAATAAATGTATTAAACACAAAGGCACTCCATATTTTGGTCTTTGAATTTTTTAAATCAGTACAATCATCACATGCTTTGCCCGGACAATAAATTTGACTAGTTCAATCTTAATCTATACAAACTTAATCTTTCCTATATATACATCCAATATAAATTAAGTTTTATGTTAATATTAAATATTAAAATATTTAATTGTAATTTTTTAATTGTAACTAAATTGTTGTATATTTGAATAAAATTAATAAAACATATATTTATTAAATGTTATTTATGAGTGGTGCATAACACACATTTGCTTACAAAGTGCGTCCAAATCCGAGGCTTGGCATTAACACAATTATAAAATGCGAGGAGGTCAACGTTTCTTACCTTCTTGTTTTCATAAAATTGTAAGTTATTAATTAATAAATAATTTACTAATTTATAATTTTAACTATCAATATAGATTTAGAGAATATATTATTAACAATTATGGTATAATTACAATCCAGGCAGCATAAAAATACATTAAATTGTTATGTTTAATATATGATACGACAACATGTTATTACATAACTTATTCTAAATTATAATTATTTTAAATTTATAACATTTGACTAGGGACTCTTACAACGAGATCGAAGTAGAGCTTCTGTCGACTGCAGTGAAACAAACTAGACGTCACCTGTTTTACACAAATATAGTGGTCTGTGTACTCGATATGAATGATTTGGATGATAATGAATGGCGAAAGAAGGCCGGAATTGTGGTCATGTGTTTAAACGGACAGACAAAGCATCTCTACGACCAAACTTTCAATGCATCGACTGTTATGTCATTTGTAGTCAACCAACTGTTGGTCGATCACCAAAAGTATTACGAACCCGCGGTGGCCATGAATCAAGTGGACCATCAGTTATGTGAATGTTATGAAATAAGGTATTTTATAGGAGGAATAATTGTTAGCATTATAGTTATCTCATTGCTAATTTATTGCATTATTTAATTAAATTTTATAAATATTACCAAAGTTAACTAATTATAAGTTAACTGCAACTTTTATTACAAATTGTTCTATTAATTATGCAGTAAAAGACCATTTGTGTGAAGTGAAAAAAACCCAGCGTTTGGTTAACAGAGTTAATACTTTTTTAACATTATGATTATTAATACTAATTTGGTTAGGTTCATGCAAATAGTTAGTTCACACAAACGGTCTAATACTATTATTATAAATTGTTTTATTAGTTATATCATATAATTACGTAAATACTTTGAATATTTCTATAACGATTATTATTTAAAAAATTTTATAACCTTATTTAAACAATAAAATGTTTAAATTAATATAGTTTTTAAATAATAACATGACAATTCTGTGGTATATGTTATTCTTATTAGAGCTATACTTAAAGTATAAATTAAGGAGAAGGGGAGAAAAGGGTATGAGTGGATAAACATCACATGAAAGACAAATAATGCAGAGATTATCATAAAATTAATCCTCGATTAATATCAACCAATCGATGGTTACTATTAAAATATGCTATCATTTTATATAAAGCAATTACAATTAATATAAAAGCATTAGGTTTTCATTTTTGAGACTTACGTTTAAGAAGTCTTGTTTTGATCATTACTTTTGTTTTAATAATTCATTGCATAAGTTATAATGTCTTACAATATGAACGGCACGCGTCCGCACAGCAACCGTCTCAGTCAACTGATTGTAAATACTGACCAGTCGTACAGATATATAGTGTACAGTCTCTACCATCGGTCGCCCAAATGCCAGTACAATAGGTGTAAAAGTTTGTTCATTTGCCTACAAATGATAGCCAATGTTTGGTCCCAACCCTTACACCCTATGTGTACATCAGAAGCAATCATTGCAAGCGTGCTATACATAACAAATTTTATAATACTATTGTTATGTGTCGTAAACGGCATATATGTGGCCATCAATGGCCGTGCGTTTACACCACCGCCCAATTGGTTGGTCACTATCACTGTATGGATGTTTGTCTGCGGTATCATATGTTTGGATCTACACATCATTAACGATATAACCACTGATTACAGCCGTATTATATCGGATCAGTTGACGTACTGGTGGTCGGACTGGGAGGCGGTGATTAAGATTAAACCCATCGCGTGTTTTATGTGCGCAAACATTGGCCGCGACTCAACCATTTCCAAGATTGGTATAGCAATGTTAATGGGATGTAATGCTCATTGTATCATGATCATTCTATTCTATGGCCCTAATTATGTGTACAGCAGGATTAATGGCGGCATTAATATTCGCATTAATAAGACATTTGTTTATTTCTTTTTATATTTAATTTGTTTTGAAGGGGTTTTCATGTTTTATTGTCCATTATTTT